GAAATTATGTTTGCCTATATGTTGGAAATGGATCAAAGAGAATCTTCAGCTAAAACATTTATGTAAATTCCATTCTTGAGCAAAATTGTGTGAAAACACTTGAAATGCTCCTCATTTCTATTTCCCTACATGGGGGCATTTTTATTTTATTTTTAATGTGCACTGAAAATATGTTAAAATGCTTAAGTTATTGGAAATGGGTCATCTACCTTACATGTGACAACACTCATTTCAATTTGGCCGTATGAAATCTGTGAGATGTGAATGCTCGAAATTTAAAACAAAGTGCATCTGCACATCATAATTTCAGCACAAGGGTGGGGCTAACTTCTTCTCAAAATACCAATTTAAAATATCAAAGTTCCAAACCACAGTTGTTCACATGGCTTAGATCCTGGAAACCCTAGTTTCTGTTTTTAAATGACTCCTTGTTTGTAGGTTTAGAAAGGAAATCATATAAGGCACATGCTAAACTAAGTTCCCAATTTAGAAATCCTGTACTTTCCACTATAAAAGGCCACTGCTATGAGGAAGCTAGTTTTCACTTCAGATATGTTTAGCTTTAAGAAGTTCCTGTTTAATTAAAACATTGATGTCTGTGAGATTGTTATTTTCTTTTTTCTATTCTATTATAACATTATTGTGTTTATATATTGCAAGAGAACAAATCGTTTTCTATATAAAACCATTGGGATAAAACCCTAGCATGTCTACTAGATCTAAAAAAACAAGTAGAGGATTGTTTTGCATTGGGTGTAGAACCTTTTGTGGATATTATCATGCACATATGCATGTAAGATGTTTGTATGTGGATTGGATTGAGTATTGATTAAAATTCAATTAATGTGTCCAACATTCTTTAGTATGTAGGTTGCTTTGCTTGCCTAGAATGTTTTTAAGATTATATTACTATACATTATGAAATGATCTGTATTTAAATTCATAGTCCATGATTTTGCTTGAGAAACTTAAAATATAAGTATTAGCTAGTATAAACTAATATGATAAAATATTCAAATTTTATCTGTAGCTTTGATTTCAAAGAACCTTGTTGTAACGTGATCTTTATTGAAGAATTGGAAAAAAATATACAATTTTCTATATATGTCATTTTGAAAGAAGAAGTTTAAACCTATTAACAAATATTTCCATTTTTTTTTAAATTTGGTGCATATATACCTTGTGCACATGAATTTTTTGGTTCTTAAATTTACATTATTTATTAATTTGTAAGTTATATAGAATTTTATTTTTTTATTTTTTTATTTTTGAGGTCTTTTTTCATTAGTGTCTACTCCTCACATACTCTTAACTAAATCTATGATAAAGTAGAGCAAATTAACAAAGATTTTACCAACATATTTTTATTTGGTGCCTATCTACTAATGCTTTTGAAAGATTGTGTTAAAATAGTTGTATATTGAATGATGTTCTCTAAGAAGTCATAAGCTAGTGTGAAGTCTCAGAACATTTATCATAGTGCTTTGAGAGTTTTCTTTAGATCAAGAAAGTTAAATCCACCATGATGCATGGAATGCCTTGCTATTTGCCACAAAAACAATAAAATTTATTACCAATATTTGTTCTATTAGTTTAAGTCAAACCAATATATACATATATAAATATAAATATATATATATATATCCTTTTAATAAGAAAATTGTCAACTATTGGGATAAATGTCAGACAATTTTGAAATTGATTATATCCCAAATCTTATGATCCACTTGGCAGTACACACGGCTGTAGAAATAGGAGCATCTCAGAGCCAGGCTACACTGAAACCTATATCCTCACACAGTGTGATGCTGCCAGGGCACACAAGACTAGTCAACAAACCCACAATCATAACCTGGAATTCACTTCAATTAAGAATTGTAGTGTTCATCAAACCCAGTAATCCCTATTATTTTATCCTTTACACAAAACTTTTTTATTACTACTATTATAGCATGGTATGGAATATTGTGTGGGTAAGTTCCAAGCATCCATTTCCTTTTCACTTTAAAGGGCCACTGAATTGCAAAGCATGCCACAGGCTGCTTTTACTGCTGCTTATCCAGTAACTCACATTATCTGGGAACTTCTCCTTCTATGAAATGAATGCTACATAGATGCTGATTCCTTGATTAAATCAAAGAATGAAAAAGCTATGTTACCACCCTTGTCATCTTTGCTCTGGAATTATGTAAGTTCCATGAGGCCCAAGTCACTGTTCATCTCATTGGTTTTGTTCAATTTATATATACATATATATATATATATATATATATGTAGTTTTTTTAATGTTGTGGTGTTCTGTGTCGGTGATCAAAAACTGGCCTCATTGGGAGGGGTGCCGCTTTGCCAATGCCAATCTTAGTTTTAAATTTTGAAAGCTGTTTTTGTTTCTGTGATTGCTCAGAGCCAAAAACATTTTCTGTGGCCTAAGACTGATATGGCAGAGAATCAGGTTTTGATGCCACAGTGTCCTTTGCTTCTAACCTAAAAAAAGGCTTTGTGCCTATTGCACAATGACATGTGCTTTTTTGGATTCAACTTTGTTGTTTTAGAAAAATATGAAATAAACTTTTATAGTGCCCTCCACCCAATAAAGCTTGTTTCATGCTGTGCATGAGCAATGAATGGAAATCTGACTTGTGTTTGGGGAGAAAAGAAAGCCAACATCTTTAGCTTTTGGAAACGTGGAGGGCTTTCATGTAACCTATTTGTTGCCATCCACTGTTTTCAAAGTAAAGTGTTCAGCTCAGTGGCAGAAAAAGGCAATATATATATTTTTTTGGAGGTGGAGTCCCTAATTCAAGTTGGCACACTGCTCAAGACACTGAATGTTTGCACTTTAATACTCAGATTGAGCAATCACAACTTGGCCATACTCCACCCACAAATAAAAGACTCAAATACTAGAACATGAGACAAGGTAGTATCTATATACAACTCATATACAAGATGACACTTCATGTGTTTCATGTCCAAATTCTCATTTGGTTTTGGACTTATTATGTGTAGAATCATGCATTTGCATATTCACAAAAGCTGACATGACCAGCATGTGGATACATGGATGAAATTTGATTTTTTGTGGGTGACTATTTTAAACATTTTAGAGAGAGTGTTGTTAATGTCAACACAATTTTTGCAAATGTCACCACAATTTGCCATGCACTACATGTCATCACAGTTTTTGCTATTACCATCATGATTTGCCACTCATTATATATATATATATATATAACAAAAATATTAATATTTTTAATATGTTTTCGATGTCAATTTATATTGATAGAAAATTAAATTTACTATCAAAAAATCAAAAATATAAAAAAGAATAAATGGTAATGGCAATAACATTTTTTTTGGTGACATGTGGTAGATGACAAATTATGGTGGCAATAGCAAAATTGTGATGACAATAACAATATGCTATGTATACATATATAAACATATACACATGCATATATATAATGATATTAAATGATTCATCAATTATTTACAAGCAATCATATGAAAATTAAAAATATGCATAATAATTAAAAGATTGAAAAGCTATCTCACAGATTAATCAATAATTATTGTTTTGAAAATATCTTAAAGATTTTCTGAATTGTAAATTTCTGAATTTAATAGTTTATGTATTTATTTCTTTGGCAAGTATTATTATTTTATTGAAATGGAGAACTACCTCTACAGTTTATAATTTCAACTTGCACAGACGTGCTTGAGATTAAAAAAACGTGCATTCTGCTTCCTTTCTTCATTTGGGCCTTTCCGATAATGTAAAACATGTTGACAAATCACAGCAACTCATATGCACTCTTTGCATTTTCACTATAGTAACCAAGGCTACTGAACAAACAAATATTCTGACTTTTTTTTCTTTTTCCTTCCAATTCTTGTGGACTCTTTAAATTTTCCACCACACTTTTGAACATTTTAGATAACATTCTTATCATCTTTTTATAGTTTAGACAAATAAGAGCACTTGTAGATTAATTTTCAAATTCAATTTATCTTCAAGTGCCCACAAATACTACAAAGCATTGGGGCATTTTTGTTTCCATGGGGTAAACGAGACTTTATTCAGCACCCTTAGTTTTATGCCACACAAAGGAACAAACCCTTTTTTATACCCAAATTCAGCCAAGTCAAGGTCACACATACTCTATGTGATTATGAGTCCACAGTTACTTCCCATGACAATGATGTGTCATAAACTCCCTGTGAGTAGGGGCAAGTTAAGAATTGTACCAGTATAGGCATTGCCTGTACAAATAATAGGTTCTTTCATATGGGGAGATGGGCCAAGTACATTTGACCATGATAGGGGATGAGAGTGAGGATGGTGGACAAAAGCTTAATCCAACATTTTGTATAAAATTCACAATCTGCTTAGCTAAGGCAGGGGAGGAGAAAAAGAGTTCAATGGCACATTTTCATGACTGTTTGGCATGCAATCTTGCTGCTCCTAGCTTTCAACCAACAGAGTAGTACCACTGTCAGCATGAAATCCATCACCTTTTATAGCTTTCCTTGAGTTAGAGTGATCTAAATTCTGCCCTGGCTAGACTTGGCTTTGCTTTGAATGGAACCAAGTGAAGTTGGTGAAGCAAAGATCAAAGCAGACAATTTTGCAGAAGGCCTTGTGATGAGCAACCTGAGGAGTGATCTGGAAACCAGTCAATGTGCTTGCTGGACTGGGGCCAGTAAACCTCAACAACTTGCAAGGGCTCCATCACTGCAAACTCTCTGTGAAACCAAGCCATGGGAGAGGGTATGCAAATGGCACCCACATGGTGCAAAGGAGATGGGACCAAGGAGGTAGAACATGACCTGTGGACTGTGAGATTGGTCCCACTAAGAGCCGCTCACATAATAGAACAGAGCACGCATCGCCTTTCGCGATCAGTACTGCCGGATGAGTATACCAGGATGAAAAGTTACAGAAGAGGCTCTGTTTGCGAGTGTCAGAAAGAATACTGTAGCAGAGCTACTGGTGGGCTAGAGCCAGGAGCGGCGCTCTCCATGCACCGCAACCCATTCCATCGCTTCTCGCCAGCGTCAAGCACAGCACACAGCGCGAGCAAGCGAGAGAGAGAGAGAGAGAGAGAGAGTGGGAGGGAGAGATGTGTGGGAACAGACGTGGAATTTTACTATCGCGCACTGGAGGGCATTCCCTGATGAGCCCTCTGCTGCTGATTCCCACTCACTCGCTCACTATTGCGGCGTGGCTGGCTGGCAGGCACTCATCACGGCACCTCATTAGCATCGCACCCTACCTGACATCATTGTTGATGCTGCTGTAGCGATTATCGCAGCAGACACAGGGGAAGTGAGACGAAATGTGCTGGGTTTAGTTGGGAAACGAGCTGAAGTAGCGGGGTGTGAATGGGAAAAATTAGTGGCATGTTGAAGGAGAAGCGGCAGTCTTGGGGATTATTCCAGGAGGAGGAGTTCGATTTGCAGCGAACCAGACAGGAGTCTGTACTCCCCGATGCAGGTGATATTGTCGGTCAGGAGACGCTTGATGGACGGGTGATGCGAAGCGAGAAGTGGAGCTAGTAGGAGGGAGATGGGAGGCTAATGCCAGTATAATATGTAAAGGGGGAACAGATAGAATAGAAACAAGAAAAAATGAATTCTTGCGCATCAGGGTGGGATTGCTGTACTTGCACGCCCATCCATGCCCTCCAACGGTGCGTTAAATGTTATGAGCTGTGACAGCAAGAGCAGAATTTGGGGCCGGCGGGTGGGAGGTCAAAAGAAGGCACAATGACTTCTAGTGTGCCTAAGAAGTTCGTAGGCAAGGGCATGGCGGATTCGATGAGTAGCAGCGTAGATGATGACGACAACTCACTCGATGGCCGTAACAGCTCACAAGGTGACAGGAGCCGAAGCATTGATACCTCCCAGGTGCATCTCTTCCCTACTGTTCCGAAGACAGAGGAGAAACCCAGGCGCCGAAGCTCGCGCCCCACCTATGTCAGTGGAGACTCTGTAAATCATTTCACAGGCTCCGATCCCGTGCGATTGGAATTGGCACGATTAGAAAACGAACTTAAGGGTAAGGCAACTGGGCGATCGTATTAAAAACTTAGGCCAGCACAACAAGCTAAGCATTCTAACTTAACCAGCACAATACACTAGGATCATCTAATACAATTGGAACAGTCACCCTGCATTCAACTAACTCACCACATCATCACTGAATAGCATGTCCTCTTGACGTCCTTAACCCTCTCACCAACAATCCGTTCCACATCTTCTTGACAGAAAAGCTTTGTCCTAGTGAGCGGTGTACCAAACCCATTCGAGTCACTCTAGTACGCGACCTCACCCAAGCCAGCAGTTCGGGAGAGTCTATGGTGACCTTGCGCCCAGTTCTCAAAGAAACCATGTTAGTTGAGAGTTTGGTTTGCCCCGAATGAGGATGGTAATCACGTGGTGTCATTGTTTTAGATAAGAATCGCGTTTTGGCGGAAGCACAAACAGAGATCAAATCCCTCCGCCAGTCGGATCGTCAGAAGCAGAAGGCAGTGGACGAGGTACCTGTTGGCATGTGTGCGTGGATTGTTTTTTTTTTGTTGCTTCGTTTTTGTGTTGTGATGTTGATTTTGTGTGCGCGCATCGACGCTCAGTCGACAGGCGTGCCTGCCGTGTATAAAGTGACCTTTTTTTTTCATTTCTTTCT